CGCCCGCCTCGGCAAAGCCGTCGACCGCAGCGGGATAGGCTAGCCCAGGCGGCGGCGGGGGGCCCATCGGTCCGAATGCGGACGAAGGGGCCCGAGGGACAGCAGAAGAGCGCGCCTTCTCCCACGCCGAGACCAGCGCGGAGGTGGGTCCCTTGGGGCGCGCGGAGACCCGATGTGGGGCCACGGGCGCGTGGGACAAGACGGCCTCGATCCCCGCAGGATCCAGCCAGAGGCGCGCCGCCTCGTCGCTGAAAAGCTGAGGCACCTCGGGCCGAGCGCTCCGGGCAGCCGGAGCGGGGCCCAGCGGTTCGGGTCCGCCGACCATCGTGGAGGCCGCGTGGGCTGCAAGCAAGGCGCGCATGTCGGCAGCTACCTCGGCGCGGGTCATGGGAGCCCCGTCGTCCAGAGACGCCGCAGGAGCACCAGGAGCAATCGGAGCAGGACCCGCGACCCGCGGCGGCGCGGCGGCGCCAGCGCGCTTGGCGGGCGGGCCGCGCGGCGCTCCAGCGACCGCGGGGGCTCGCGCACTTGGGGCCGCGCGGTCGGCTTCCCCGTCGGCCGCGAACCCCTCGGGCTCCTCCAACTCGTCGGCAGAGTGGTAGGGGGTAGCCCGATCGGCCCCTGGGAGAGGCTCTTCCCCTGCGGTAGGCGGGGCGCCGTGCAAACGAGCGTAGCCCTCGCGAAGCACCCGAACCCCCGAAGGATGCGGCCAATAGACGCGGCTGCGCACCTCGGCGAAGGGAACGATGCCTGCGTCGTCGCCGACTTCTAGAGGGTACAGCGACTCGAGCTCGAGCTCGGCAACCTCGATATCTATAACGAGGACGGATGCGGTAGTGGCGAGCGGCCGTGAAGCGGCCCCCTGGAGCTGGACGTCCACTAGCTGGAAGGGGCCTATCATCCCAGCAAAGCCATCCGCCTCGGCAGCCTCGAGCTCCGCTGTAGAGCGAAAGGCACCAGGCAGGGCCAGCAGGATGCCCCCTTCTCGAGAGGCGAGGGGGAAAGCCGCCCAGCTGGTGTCGCCGTCGTCTAGGCGCCATCGTGCGTAGTCGCGCGCCGTGGGCGCAGCGAAAGGGTAGAGCTCGGGCCAAAGGGGCCCTCCGCCAACTGGTGGCAGCCCCGCCATCAGTGGGCGCCGCCGTGGACGCCGCCGCCCGCACGCTGGGCGTCTGCCCGCTCGAGCGCTTGAGGTCGAGGCGGAGCCCCGTAGGCCAGCGCTCGCGCCGCACGGCGGACCTGCTCAGGTGAAGCAGAAACCGCGCCGCGCGGCCAGGCGGAGGGCCAGAGCCTCCGCCACACGTACGGGCCCAGCAGCCCGAGGCAGCAGCCCGCGCAGGCGCAGCAGGCGGCCGTCACCCAGAGGAGGGCGGCGACCGTGCTGAGCAGCCAGGGAGAGACCCCGCCGCTCAGGTCCACCGCCAGCCCGAGGCAGACGGTGGGGCAGGTGGAACCCGCCGAAGGGAGAGGGCAGGAGGCCCCCTCACCCTCGGACGAGTCCGCCTGCTGGATGGACCAGGCAGGCGATGGAGGCCCCTGGTCCTGAAGCACAGAAAGGGGGGCAGCCACGAGCCGCTCGTAGAGCGCGGCCCGCAGCCCCCTGAACAAAATCTCCCCAGCGCCCTGGAGAGCCGCTTGTGCGACCGCCTGCATAAGGCGCCCGCACGCGCGGCCGACGGGGGGCACTTGGGCAGAGAAGCTGCGGAGACAGCAGGAGCTTGCTCACAGAGAATAGAAGAGGCATGATGATGATGATGATGATGATGATGATGATGATGATGATGATGATGATGATGGGGTAGTGATGATGGTATGGTGAGGGCGGTTGTGATGGTGATGATGGTGATGGTGATGATGGTGATTCTGGATGTGATGAGCACCACCATCATCACCATCACCATCGCCACCACCATCAGCACTACGATTTGATAACCACCATCATTACAATCGTCGTCGGCATCAGAACACAAAAACACTCAACCGACTGAACCTAAATCCGCCCTAAATCAAGCCAGCTTAGAACACCGCACAACTGAAGATGCAAGCCTTTTTAAGGCTCAGAACGCACACTGCACTGGCCGACTGGCGCCCTCTTGGCACGCAACCCTCAGAGGGGGCCAGTACTTAGGCACGACGACTCCGTCTCTCCCCCCCGCCCACCAAAGCCCACCCCCCGCCCCCCGGTCCCAGAACGTCGGCCGCCTGGGCCACGATTCGAAGGCATGTCGCAAACAAGTGGCACGCGTGCCCTGGCTTTTGCACCAAGGAGCTGCGAGAGACAGGGCCCGTTCGGGACAGATGGCCCCGAGGACCGTCCTGAAGACCTCTTGTGCGACTCCTGGGTCGTCTTGGAGGCCGTGGAGGGTGGCCCAAAAAGACGAAATCATCAAACACGAGATGTTTTTTGCATGGTGTTTGCAATCACGCTTTTTCGGCCTTCCGAGCGTCCAAGGACGGCCGAAGAGGCGCCCCAAATCGCCTCAAGACAGCCCAAGAGCCACCAAAGCTGGGCCCAAGAGGGAGAACACGAACTGACATTTTGAGCCCTCCGCCCCAAGATGGCCCCAAGATCCCCCCACAAGCCCCCGAGGTGCGCACGAGAGGCCTCAGGAGGCCACCAAGAGGCCACGAGAGGCCCAAAACAGGCCCTCAAAAGGCTCCCAAGAGGCCCCCGAGACGCCCCCAAACCCGCCTCCGAGAGGCATCCGAAAAGGCCTCCCAGGAGATCCTCACAGGCATCCAAAAGGCCTCTGTCCTACAACCCAGGCGCGGTGGCGGGATGGGCCGAAGGCCACCAGGTATGCCTTCACTCGTATGAAAAGTTTCCTCTTCGTCCGCCTCCTCATCATACCCCCCTTTCCCCTGCGCCCCTGTCACTCATCCCTCCTCCAATCATGTCTTTCACGGGCCCACAGCCAGGAATCCCGAGTTCTGGGCATTCCTGGACTCTTGGGCGCTGTCGCCCGCTCCTGGGCGCAACCGGGGCGCCCCCGTGGCATAAGAGCGCCGCTCGGGACATGCATGTCCAACATGGTCGCAGATGGCCCCGAAGACCGTCCTGGAGCCCTCGTGGCCGCCTCCTGGGCCGTGTCCCTGTCAGTCTCCCTCCCTTCCTCCACGTAACCCCTCCTCCTGTCTTCCCTGCACAGATTCCTCCAGGAGGCCCGGCCCCCCCTCCCTCCTTCATTCCATTCCCCCCCCTGCAATTGACTACCTGTTCCCCACCTTTCTACCGTTCCCCATCCGTCCTCTTCGTCCTCCTCCTCCTCCGCCTCCTCCTCCTCGTCTTCCTCCTCCTCCTCTTCCTCCTCCTCCTCCGTTTCCTCCTCCTCCTCCCTTTCTTTATCATCCTCATCTGTCCTCCTCCTCATCTGTCCTCCTCCTCCTCCTCCTCCTCCTCCTCCTCCTCCTCCTCCTCCTCCTCATCATCATCATCATCATCATCATCAGCAGCAGCATAATCCTCATCATCGGCAACATCACCAGCATCACCATCACCATCACCACATCAGCATCGTTATCGCCATCAGCATCAACAACAGCATCACCATCAGTATCAACATCATCAGCACCATATGCATCAGCACCATCACCATCTTCAGCACCATCACCAACATCATCCTCATCACCACTACCATCATCAATAACATCACCGTCATCATCAGCATCAGCATCATCATCATCACCATCATCATCATCATCAGCCTCATCATCAGCATCATCATCATCAGCATCATCATCATCATCATCATCATCATCATCATCATCAGCAGCAGCAGCAGCATCAGCATCAGCATCAGCATCATCATCATCATTATACCCCTCCTCCTCTTCATCCTCTCTCCTCGCCTTTCTTTCGCCAGTCTTCCCACCTCGCCCCTGCGTCATCCTCCCCCCCGTCCGCCCTCTTCCTCCCCGTGAGAGGAACCTCGAGGTGGACACCATAGAATAGTAACGAACTGCAGGGACATCCATTTTCGGAAGTCCGCGAGAATTTCCTGGGTGATCGTTGGGCCCCCCACCCTGGTGCGCCGAGCGCGCCGAGGACCGCGCCAGATGCGCCGCTAGGAGTGTCCAGCGCCGATCCAAGAAATCCGCGCGGCCCTCCGAATCTCTGAGCAGAACAAACGTCTCTCAGACGGGGTCCGACTGGATGGCGTCGGAAGATCGCGCCGCATCGTTGCTGCATCGCCGATGCGTCGGCAGTGCAGCGTGAACCCCGGACTAAAGGGGCCCTGGTACACGCAAATAAATGCACACAAACAACAGGATTCCCTAGTTTCGCATATTTCCTGGGTTTTCGTCTTGCCCCCCACTTCCCATATGTTCCCATATTTTCCTGGGGATCGACGATGAATTGTGTCAGTGTGTTTTTTCCCTCCGGACAGACCCCCATGTACACCGGCGCCATCTGGGAAGCCTGGAGATCGTGGGCGAAGAACGTGTCCGTTTCCACGGCCTCGCGGGCTGGTCCCCTGGGCCGCGACCCTGCGGCTACGGGCCTTCTTTGTCGCCTGCTGCCCCGCGCCTAACGTACCCGTGCGACCGCGCCTCCCGGGGATCGCGCCCCGGGTTTCCAAACCGCGTGGGCGCGGATATGGACATGTTTGAAGGGAAACTGGGACACACAAATAAATACACATAAATAAAATTATTCCCCATATTTTCCCATATTTTCTGGGTTTTTGTCTTCCCCCCCATTTCCCATATTTTCCCATATTTTCTGGGAATCGCAGATTAATTGTGTCTGTGTGTTTTTTCCCCTCCTGAATGTTCGCCGCTCGTGGGAGGGGGGGGGGAGAGAAAGCCCCGTGCAGGCCACATGTCTCGCCGCACTGCCGCGGGGCCGGGACCTGCGAACGTGGCCGAAATGCGGCCGCGGCGGCGCACGGCGCACCAATCCAAGACCCCCTCGACCCTCAGGGAGGGAGAGGGAGAGCAGAGGTCGGCGGCGACGGCGGCGGCCCCGGCGGCGGCGGCAGCGCCGATGGGGCCGAGGGCGCCTGTCGCCCTCCCAGCACTCGCCCTTCAGGAACCACCTGCAGACCGCCGGCTTCGGCGGCGGGGCCTGGGGCGGAGGGCGGAGTGTCTCCAGCATCAGCCACACAAAAGAGGGCGCCACCGCCAACAGGTTGAAGGAGCCCGATCCCCCAGGAGCGACCCTGGGCGGAGCGAGCTCGGTGGGAGGCGGGACCCGCTGCCCACTCGGGGGAACCGACTCCGCTCGCGGGGCCCATCGTCCGTCGAACGCTGCAGAGTAAGCAGAAGTACGCGCCGAACACTGGAACGCCGAGCAAAGATGGGGAGGACCCTTGCCCAGGAGGAGGAGGAGGAGGAGGAGGAGGAGGAGGAGGAGGAGAAGGAGGAGGAGGAGGAGGAGGAGGAGGAGGCCGACGTTGCACTGTTTTCGAAAAGTCGGCACCGCAGACCTTCGACCGCTTCGCCAGGGTCGCGTTCTCATCCTGAGCCATGTTCTCACGATCCCCGGAGCGGGGAACTTCCTCCAGACCAGAAAGGATGCAGAACCAGGTCGTCGCGATGAATTGCGCGGCGCAGACCCGAAGGGATGAGGAGCCAGGAAGGATCTCTGTGGAGCCACGCGGACAAGAGGTCGCCGCTCCAATCCCTAGACCCCGTGGCCAGGCATGGATTCCAAGCGAGGATTAAAGTGGGGCCGCCAACTGCCGCCGACCACCCCACCGAGAGCTGACGCCAACGGTGACGCAACCAGGGAGCAGCTCACACGAAACAAAATACTCCGCATCGCTTCTCGGCCTCCCGAGCAACCTCGCCCAGTCAGCACAGCCGCAGAACACCGCAAATCTGGATGCGAGGGCGGGACGGACAGAACCTGGATGTCCAGCGGCAGCTCGAGACAATGCGGGCCGTCCCAAAACGCCCTCGGCGAGGCGCGGCTGCTGGAAGGCATCCCGGGGCAGTAAAACCCCCGAGGACAAAAGAACTCGTCCGAAAACCTCGAACCTCGAAACCTCGTCCTCCTCGCCCTCCTCCTCCTACTCCTCCTCCTCCTCCTCCTCCTCCTCCTCCTCCTCCTCCTCCTCCTCCTCCTCCTCCTCCCTCCTCCTCCTCCTCCTCCTCCTCTCCTCCTCCTCCTCCTCCTCCCCCTTCCCTCCCCTCCCCTCCCCCTCCCCTCCTCCTCCTCCCTCCTCCTCCTCCTCCTCCTCCTCCTCCTCCTCCTCCTCCTCCTCCTCCTCCTCCTCCGCCTCCTCCTCCTCCTCCTCCTCCTCCTCCTCCTCCTCCTCCTCTCTCCTCCTTCCTCCTTCCTCCTTCCTCCTTCCTTCCGTCCTCCTTCCTCCGTCCTCTCCTCCTTCCTCCTTCCTCCTCCTCCTTCATCCTCCTTCCTCCTCCTCCTCCTCCTCCTCCCTACTCCTCCTCCTCCTCCTCCTCCTCCTCCTCTCCTCCTCCTCCTCCTCCTCCTCCTCCTCCTCCTCCTCCTCCCCTCCCCCTCCTCCTCCTCCTCCTTCCTCCTCCTCCTCCTCACCTCCTCCTCCTCCTTCCTCCTCCCCTCCTCCTCTACTCCTCCTCTCCTCCTCCTCCTCCTCCTCCTCCTCCTCCTCCTCCTCCCCCCCTCCTCCTCCTCCTCCTCCTCCTCCTCCTCCTCCTCCTCATGCTCCTCCTGGCTCCTCCTGCTCCTCCTGCTCCTCCTGCTCCTCCTCCCTCCTCCTCCTCCCTCCTCCTCCTCCTCCTCCTCCTCCTCCTCCTACTCCTCCTCCTCCTCCTCCTCCTCCTCCTCCTCCTCCTCCCCTCTGCCTCCTCCTCCTCCTATTCCTCTTCCTCCTCCTCCTCCTCCTCCTCCCCTCCTCCGCCTCCTCCTCCTCCCCTCCTCCTCTCCTCCTCCTCCTCCTCCTCCTCCTCCTCTTCCTCCTCCTCCTCCTCCTCCTCCTCCCTCCTCCTCCTCTCCTCCTCCTCCTCCTCCTCCTCCTCCTCCTCCTCCTCCTCCTCCTCCTCCTCCTTCTCCGCCTCCTCTTCCCGCTCCGCCTCCTCTTCCCCCATCCGCCTCCCCCACCTCCTCGGCAGGTCCACCTCCCCAACGCTGCCCTTGCTGAGCCCCCGCCCCCTCGGCGCGCAGGGCCGGCGGCGACCGCACAGGGGGGGCGCGCCAGGTCCAGAGGCATCGTGGAGCGCCCGCCGCGGCGCCGCGGCGGCCCGCCGCGAAGGAGGGCACAGAGGGGAGGGGGGGGAAGGGGGAGAGGCTGCTCTCGACGAACACCACGTATAGCCGACGGGAACCAGGAACCAGAGGGGCGCGGTGTGGCGCGGGGTAGGGCGGCCGAAGCCCGCCTGCCGCCTCAACGGCTGGAACGGGGCTAGTCGCCCTCGGGTGGCCAGGCCTCTGTGGCCTCGGCCTCGCGCTTAGCTCGCCTGCACTCCTGCGCCCATTCTACCGCCGAATCGGGCGAGGCAAACCCATGCAGGCGAGCAACTCGCCCCAGGTCCAGTACGGGGACCGAGACCCCCTACTGGTGGAAGCTGGCGGAAGCCTGAGAACCGCTGGCCACGGGGCCCCCCGGGGGCCCGCCAGCGGGCCCCACGGAAGGTCCAACCCCTTCCGAGGACCCAACACCTCCAACAGGCCCCCCAGCTTCCCCTGGAGCCATTCGATATCCTCGTCCTCGGGGCCTCTAAAAGCAGGAAGCCACGGAGGAGGATGGATGGCCGAGGGATGGAGGTCCCGACGGAAACGGGCCCTCCGGGTAGGAAGCCCAGAGTGCCCCCGGCCCAAGCAGGCCCCCGCGATGCCCTTCCCAGGCACGACTCGCTGGGCCAGCGAGGCCCCGCAGGACTTGCAAAAAAACAAGCACGGGTGTTCGGGGCCCTCCACGTCGCATTTCACCACCGAGTGCCCTTGAAACAGCCACGGCCTCCCAGACATCACCCCCGCCCCCACGCCCCCCCACATCGATCGGTTCGGGATCGGGCTCGGGCGGCGGCGGGGCAGGGGCGGCGAGCCTGCAGTCAAGCCTCTCGCGGGTTCGGAGGGCTTCATCGAGGATCGCGGCGTCACGGTCGTCGGTGTCAAATTCTAGAGCAAGGACAACATCCGAGGTGCATGCCACCCTCAGCGCCCCAGGCCTCGCGGTCTCCTAGCCACGCGTGCACGCGCCCTATCCATCTAACCAATTTGACCGCAAAATCTTCACGGGCTTCCATGAAGAGAACCGTCCGGGGGAAAACCTTCCAGAGCAAGACCCCCTTGTTTAACCCATCGGTCCGCGAAACTAGTACCAAGTCTGCGCCACGCATCGAAGAAAGAGGCGTCTTGTGATGCCGAGGAATGGGCCTTGACTTTTCACACGCTCGCACTGTCACCGTGCTTCAGCAACCAGCTTTCCCAAAAATGCACGCTGGGATGCATGAGGCTCAGCGCTGTCGAGGCGTTCCTGGCACAGTCTATGGACCCAGCGCAATCCGGGAAGAACGCCAGGGACCCGCCGCTTGCAGGGTCGACCGAGAAACACGACAACATGTGGAACGCAGAATCTCCCGCGCCCCTGGAGGACGGCGTCAAAGACCATGCCAAGGGGACAGCACCATACATTCCACACATGAACAAATCATCATCGTTGCAGCTGATGGCAGCCCGTCCCGCACGACGCAGGCCGCCATGCTGGGTAAAAAATGAGGGGCCGTCAACAAGCACCCCCCCCCCCCCCCTCGAAGAGCCATCCAGGCATACACCCCACGAAGCGGATATGACCCTCCTCGGGGGCATGTCGATCCTGAAAGACATGCGACGGCGAGGACAGGAGGCCCCCGGCGAAGTATTCACCGCACTCCTCGCCCTCTCCGAGGGCAAGGCGAGCCGCCTCGAGCAGCTCGGGCGGACAAGACTCTCTCCTGGGAAACTCCGAGCTAGGGCAACCGAAACAACGGTGCCAGAAGGTCCCACGGGCTCCGCATTTCACACAAAACGGGCGGGTGGCCCCCCCTTTCGCGCGAAGCCTGCCCTGGCTCCAGCGGGCCCCGCAGTTGACTGATCTGAAGGCGTTGACGCGCCTCTTGGCCCACAGCTCTGAGGTTCCAGCCAGCGCCGAAACCACGGACCCCAGTGGAGCTCCGAAACCCAAGGACTCCTAAGCCTTCTCAGAGCTGTGGCATCAGAGGCGGCACAGGCAGAGGCACGGACCGCCCGGCAGACAGCACCAGGCGAAAAAAAAAATCGAGTGTCGATCTCGCGACGGCGGTGATCGAGCAACAGGTTGTGCCGAGCTAGTTGGCAGCCAGCTCTGGCGAGGCTAAACACCGCGGCCCGGCAGGGGCCAGCGCGCCAGTTCCACGGCTTGTCGACGCCCAGCAGCTGCACGGCGTCAGCGCGAACCACTCTGGAAACTTCATGCTGGAGGAGCCCGTCTCGAACTCCGATGGACCACGCTTTGGCCACCTCCACAGCATTGACCGCGAACGGGCCCCTGACCACCGCCCGCGGCATGGTGCGCACCCTGAAGGCCAGGCACGTGACAGGGGCCAGCCTGCCCTCGGCTCTGAGCGCGCGCACCCTGAGCCCGTTCAGCTAGCCGCCCGCGATGCCAGCGACCGCCGAGCCCCAGCACCCCGCGGCGCATGGCGCGCCACGGAAGAGGTGACACGTCTTGGCCCCCGCGGCGTGCAGCAGCTCGATCCCTAGATCCTGTCTGCTGCTCTCTTGGCTCGGGCGAGCCTCTTGTCCTGCTCTGGCACTCGCCTCCTGCTGCCGTCGTTGCCGTCGCCACCAAGGCATCTCATGCCGGAGGCTCTGGCCAGGCCAGGGTCAGACCAGTGGCAGTCCAACTCCTGAGCCAGCTCCGCATCCGTGGCCATCCACCCCGTCTTGCCCCGGTTGATCTCGAGGCGCCTCTGCTGGAGCCCCATCAGAGAGGTCGCAAGCAGCTTGGGGCAGATGGCGCCCCACCAGGCGAGCCGCGCCGACTGCCTGGCGGAGGCAGTCGCCCACCAGGCTCCGGGCCCGCATCAGCGGGCACATGCTGACGACGCTGCGCAGCAAGGTGTAGGTCAGCAGATTGGCGACCCCAACCGCACACGAGCAGCCCGCTGTCGCGGCGCCGTTGGCCTCGATGGCGGGCCCGACCCCCTTGCCCCGCATCGCCCCACGCGGGGGGCGGTAGCTCGAGCAGAGGGCCCCGAGCAGCACCATGGGGAACTCCGCCACGACCGCCTGGTCGTAGAGCTCGCGGCGGCTGATCATCTCGCAGTACTTTGCGAGGTCGGTCGCCGGGGTGCTGGACACCACACCAGTCTTCCTCGCGAAGGCGCCCATCACGTCGTGCACGAAACCAGCCTCGTCGCAGGAGCGGTCGGAGGTGCCCCAGTGGAAGGACTAGTCGATCGTGCACTCCCAAGCTGCAACAATCAGCTGGCGCAACTTCGACCAGACCCGAGTCCAGAGGCTGGCCAAGACGATGGGCCGCACACCTCCAGGCGGGGGCTTCGGCCGGAAGACCACCAGCAACATCTACAGCGAGCATCGCGTCGGCTGCCTCCCAGGCTTCCACGATGTCCAGGAACGCCTGTCTGCACTGGCGCGGTAGCCACCGAAGCTGCCGCGGGCGCAGGCGGCCCCACCCAATGCCTGCGCCCCCCCTCCCACAGGAAGCCAGCACGCAGTCCAGGGCGCCCACGGCGATGAGCGGGAGGCCCCGCCAGGCGCCACCTGCACCGCGCGCCCAAAGCCGTGGGCCAGAATCCCCTTGCCTGTCAGGGTGAACCCAGAGGTTCTCCCATTCCTTCATCAGCACCCTCATGGCGGCATCACCTGCCACTGGGAGGCCAGGGTCGCTCTCGTCGCCCTCGTGCGCTATCATCGCCGAAGGGATCAAGCTGCCGTCCTTGATGAAGCGGCATGCCTCCTGGCCTCCTGACCTGGTGGCTGCCTCCTGCGCCCACTCTCTCCATTCCTTACTGCGCTTGGCCTTGTCCCTCCTCTGGATGGAAGCGACGTGGTCGTGGAGGTCGACCAGGAGGGCGTGGTAGTCGCGCACGTCCAGCTCCTAAAATGCGCGCGCAATGGCATGCTGGTCCCAGGCAGCAACGGCCCAGTTGTCGACCTCTGCGCCTCGTCGAACTCGAACGCACGCACCACGCGGACCTGGCGCTCGAAGCAGGAGTACCTGACCCAACCGTTGTCCAGCTGGTGTCCTCGGAGAGTGGCCGCCTTTCTGCAAAACGCAGGCAGGCCTGCCCACTTGCGGCACTCGGCGCTCGATGTCTCCTTCAGCGTGTCCTCCCACTCCTGGACCAGAGGGACTGTCTCCACCTGCAAGCCTCTGTCTCTGGCCGCTCTGCTCCGCTTGTGACCTTCCAGCCGGTGTAGCCGGTCAAAGTTGTCCTCAGCCATGGCGTACCAGAACTTTGAGGCTTCCCCCACATCAGTGGGGCCAGTCCCCGAGCACCACGGCCACTCGTCTTCAGCAAGCTCGGGCGGCGCTGCCTGCGCAGGAGGTGGCAGGGCCGGCGGGTACCGACTGGGGTAGACCGCCCTGGTGACCGTGGTTCTCTGGTGCAGGCCCTTCAGCTCGATGCTGGTCGGCGAGTGCGGCGAGATCGGGGCGTCACTCAGCACCTTGACCGCGCCAACCCGACTGGCAAGAGCCCCAGACACTAAGCGCAGTCGTACTCGCGCCTGCCGCAAGTCGGACTCCACGGACGCACGAGCACTCCCGAGGCCTGCTTGGCCCAGCTGGCCAAGTCGTCGGGCTCGATGTTCCAGTCCGCCAGGATGACCCACGGCCACTCAAGGCTGCCGACCCAAGACTGCAGGGCCTCAAGCAGCACAGCGCTGTCGCCCGTGACCCCGATGCTGACCACCATGTAGGCCGAGACGAAGAAGATCGGGAAACCGAGGCCCGCGTTGAGCTTCGCGGCTCGCGCCCGATGGGGCCCCAGCACACTGCACTCCCTGGGCTTCTCCACGCTGGCCGCCGCCATCGCCGTGAGGACTGCCCCTCCTCCAGGGCTGTCCAGGGGCCCTGGGCCCGTGTCCTGAGCCAGACCTCCGAGGAATTAAAAGCCAGCGAGAAGGAGGAAGCGGCGGACGAGGAGGACGAGGCCGAGGTTTCGAGGTTCGAAGTTTTCGGACGCGTTTGCTTGTCCTCGGCGGTTTGTACACTCTAGGCGATGCTTAAGAAAACCCAAGTTTTCGGCCAGAGTCTCGATTACTCTTAATGTTTCAATGTAAATCCTAAGATTTCAATCGAAATTCTTGGTTTTTATTCAAATTCTGAGACTGTGAATTTCTTAACCCATGATTTCTTAAGCATTTCGCAGGGTGTACTGCCCTGGGATGCCTTCCAGCAGCCGCGCCTCACCGAGGGCGCCAGGAGGGGGACGGGGAGGAGGCGGAGCGCGGAGCAGGAGTCCAAGTGGCCAGGTCGAGCGAGCCAGGGGGTCCCGCCGTCCCCCCGCCCTCCCTCCCGCAGGTTCGGCGGCGAGCGAGGGGGGGAAATGAATGAAAAGGCCTTATCGTAGGAACAAGGAAAGGCGACACCAACACCAACAGGGCGAGGAGATGAGAGGGGGCAAGGGGAACTCCCTGGTGGTGTGGTCCCCCTCTCTCGCTCGAGACATCCCCAGCCTCCAGCTCGGAGAGGCATCGTGGACCTCCTCTCTGGCGGTGGGCCCCCTGGTGGTGTTGGTATCGCTTCTCCTCCCCACGATATCGGATAAGGCGGCGGGACTTCTCAGAAGCAATCGCGCTTTGTGAGAAGTGGTGTGCCTCCGGGGAAGTTTAGAACATTTCTCAAAGGCTGGGGGCCTTCCGAGTCTTCTGAGAAGGCCCGCCCCTTCTCAGTTCCCCCTACGCCGGCCGCCGAACAGTACACCAATAAATTGTGGCAAAGCTCGATCTTGGAATTAAAGCGGGTTTCCATCTCGTGGCGCTCGCGCGCGTCCCCGCTTCCGACGACTCTGCGGAGGAAAAGCTGCGCAAGCCGCGCAGAGGCGGGAGCGGCACAACTGCCGATGGGCGCGGCGAAGACGAAGCAAGCGCCGCGCTGACAGAGCACTGCCACTTTCGCCCACAAGCTGCGCGGCGCTCGGGCGAGGTCGGGATCCCGCCCGCGCTCGCGCGGCCCCGCTGCCGCTGTCGCGCTCGCACGACTCGGCGGAAGCACCGTGCGCCGCGCCCGCGCGGGGCAACACCTCCAGGCAAAATGCGCACGGAGCTCGGGCGAGGGCATCAAGCCGCCCCTCCGCGCGGGCCCTCCACGCAGCGGCGAGTGGCACGGAGGCGCCGCACCGGGGCGGCAGCGCCGCTTCCAAGAGCGAGAGAATCGCGCGGCACCCGGGCGAGAGCGACGTGCTCGACCGCTCGCGCGTCGACGAAGCGGCGTGCGAAACACGTGCGCCGCGCCCCCGCGGGAGTTCCACGCTCCAGAAAAAAAAAAAAAGTAAATAATAATAATAATAATAATAAAACGAGCGCGTCGCCGAGGCGAGAGCAGACATCTCGGCCCGGCCCACTCCTGCCACGCACTTTGCAGCACGGACGGCAGAGTGCCAAGCGTGAGACGCGAAAGAGACTGATTCCGCACTCTTCTCGGACTGGTAGGGCGGGACCTCCTGGACGGAGGTGCTGTCGGCCAGCAAGGTGGCCGAATGTGAGTAGACACGCATATGCCAAAAAGGAATAAGGATAGGAGGGGCAGGAGGAGGAGGAGGAGGAGGAGGAGGAGGAGGAGGAGGAGGAGGAGGAGGGAGGGAGGGAGGGAGGGAGGGAGGGAGGGAGGGAAGGACGGAGGGCTCTGAGGGCTCTGAGGGCACCGTGCGCCCGAACCGCCAGGGTTGAAACGCCAACGACACCTGCACCGCACCGACGAGCATGCCCGAACGGGCCACGCCGAGTCCCAATGGGCCCAGCACGAACGCCCCGACGAGCGAAAACGAGGAGGCACCCAGGAGCCAGAAAACGCCAGGCCCCGCCCAGCCCCACAGAAGCCGTGCGCAGGAGGGCGGAGGAGGAGGAGGGCGGGAGGAGAGAGGGCGGGAGGAGAGAGGGAGGGAGGGAGGCAGGAGAGCGGGAGGGAGGAGAGAGGAGAGAGGGAGGAGGAGGAGGTGGAGGAGGAGGAGGAGGAGGAGGAGGAGGAGGGAGGAGAAACAGGAGGAGAGGGAGGACGAGGAGGAGAAGGAGGAGGACTGAGGAGCATGGCGAGGAGGGCGAGCGGCGAGGGCGGCGAGGAGGCGCCCGCGCCCCTTTCAGGCCGCGCCCTCGGACTGCGACCCCTTCCGCTTCGTGCCCTCGACCATCTGCCGCTTCCGGCGCGCCCGGGCCAGGTCCCAGCCTCGGAGGGCGGCACCCCCCCTGGGGAGGAAGGAGCACATCCGAGGGGGGAGGGGGGAGGAGGAGGGCGGAGGAGGGCGAAGGACGAAGGAGGAGGGCGGAGGAGGAGGGCGGAGGAGGAGGGGGGAGGAGGAGGGCGGAGGAGGAGGGCGGAGGAGGGCGGAGGACGGGAGAGGAGGACGGAGGAGGGCGGCGGACGGGGAAGTCGGGGGCGGACCTAGGAGGGCGGAGGAGCTCGGGACGATCCAGACACTCCCGAACTGTTTCTGGGCGAGGCTGAGCTGCTGCAACGCAATCCCGGGGCGGGGAAGCCCCCGGGAGCCTACGAAGACGTCCGAACACCTCGCCCCTGCCTCTCCTCCCAACCCCCATCCTGGACTGCGGACACCACAAGACGCCGATACCGCCACTCCCCAGACGTCTACCGGGGTGCGTTCTGACCAGAACTTCGAAGCGAATCCAGCCGTGGCGACGAGGGCCTCTGGGGAGGCCTGAGAAGACGAAAACAAGGAAAGGGTAGCGGTATCGGTACCTATTCCTCCTTCCTCGTCGTGTTTTTTTTTTCGCGAACTGGACCTCAGAGGTCTAGACCCCTCCCCCAGGACAAATGTTTCATTCCGACCCGTTTGTTGGTCGGTCCCGGGGCCCGGTGAGGGCACCCGGGGGCCAGAATTGTAAATAGCCTTCCGCCGTGATTTGTTCACAACGCGAGGAGATCTGAGTCCTCCCCACTCCTCCCTGGACTCTCCAATCCCTGGGCGCTCACCGCCCCTCCCTGGACGCTTCTTCACCTGCATCCTCACCCTCATCATTCATCCTCAGCATCGTCACCACCGCCACCACCACCATCACCATCACATTCAGCAACAATAAAAAATCGTCGCCGCCAACAACAACAACAACAACAACAACAACAACAACAACAACAACAGCAAAAACAATAATAATAACAACAACAACAACAATCACTTTACCCGAACGCTCAGTGTTCTCACCAGTGCCAGGGTTTTCATGCGACAACAACAACAACAACAACAGCAGCAGCAACAACAGCAGCAGCAAACACAAACACAAACACAACAACAACAAAAACAACAACAACAACAACAACAACAACAACAACAACAACAACAACAACAACAACAACAACAATCACACCAACAACAACAACAACAACAACAACAGCAGCAGCAGCAGCAGCAGCATCAACATAATACACGTCATCATCGCCATCATTAACAGCATCAGCATCATCACCACAATCGCCACGATCATCACCATCATCATCAGCAGCATCAACAGCATAATCATCATCAGTATTACATGAGGTTGAAAAAATAGATCTGTCAGGAGATCTGGGGAGTGTCCAATGGAAGATTTGGCGCGGTTGCAAAGCAATAAATCTGGAGGAAGATCTTGGCGAAGATCTGGGGTGATATGAGGGAACATCTCGGATATAATATTTGGCGGGAAATCTGGAGGAAGACTTGGAGGGACATATGAAGAAAGATCTGGTGGAAGATCTGGGCGAAAATCTGGGGAATGTGCTGAGAAAGATTGGGCGGTGTAGTGCATCGTACATGTGCAGCAAGATTTGCGGGAAGATCTCGGGAAGACCTGGAGAAAGATCTGAGGGAGAAGATATGGGGAAACATCTGGGGAAAGATCTGGGTGAAGATCTGAAGGACGATCTGGAGGAAGAGCTGGGGGAAGATCTGAATCAACATCTGGGTAAATATATTGGGGGAACATAGAAGGAGCTCTGCGGGACAACATCGGGAAAGATCACAGGAAAAATCTGGGTGACGATTTGAAGAAAAATCTGGGGAAGATCTGGGCGGAAGATCTTGAGAAGCATCCGCAGAGAGATTTGGGAAAGATCTGAAAGAAAATCTGGGGTAATATCTGCTGGAAGATCTGGGCGAAGATCCGGAGGAACATCTGGACGAAGATCTGGGGGGAAATCTGGGGGAAGATCTGGCGGAACAACTGGAGGAAGATCTGAAGGGAGATCTGGGGGAAGAGTTGGGGAAAGATCCGGGGGAAGATCTGGGGGGGATCTGGAGGAAGATCTGGGGGAAGATCTGGGGGGAGATCTGGGGGAAGATCTGAAGGAAAGTTTGGGGAAAGATCTGGGGAAAGATTTAGGGAAAGATCTGGGGGAAGATCAGGGGGGGAATCTGGGGGAAGATTTGGGGGAAGATCTGGGGAAAGCTCTGGGGGAAGATCTGGGGGAAGAGCTGGACGAAGATCTGGGGGAAGATCTTACGGAAGATCTGGGGAGAGATCCGAGGGAAAATGCTGGGGAAGAATCCGGGGAAGATCTGGGGGAAGACCTAGAGGAAGATCTGGAGGAAGATCTGGGGAAAGATCTGAGTGGAGATCTGGGAGAAGATCTGGGGGAAGATCTGGTGGGAGATGTGGTGGGAGATCTGCGCGGCGATCTGGAAGAAGATCTGGAGGAAGATCTGGGGGGGAGATCTGGGGGAAGATCTGGGGGGAGATCTTGGAGAAGATCTGGGGAATCCGAGGGAAGATCTTCCCCCCTGATCTGGGGGGAAGATCTGGGGAAAGATCTAGGGGAGAATCCGGAAGAAGACCTGGGGAAAGATCTCGGGGGAGATCTGGGGAAGATCTGGGGGAAGATCTGGTGGGAGATCTGCGCGGCGATCTGGAGGAAGATCTGGGGGAAGATCTCGGGGGGAAATATGGGCGAAGATCTGGGGGATGATCTGGGCGAAGACATCTGAGCGAAGATCTGGGGGAAAGTCTGGAGAAGATTCTAGAGGAAGATCTGGGGGAAAGATCTGGGGGAAGATCTGGGGAGAAATCTGGAGGAAGATCTGGGGAGGGATCTGGGAGGAGATCTGGGGGCAGATCTGGGGGGAGATCTGGGCGAGGATCTGAGGGAAGATCTGGGTGAAGATCTAGGAGGGAGTTTGGGCGCAGATCTGGGTGAAGATCCACGGGGGGGGGGATTTTGGAGGGAAAAGGAGGGGAAGATCTGAATCCGCCGGCCCCCTTGTGGGGCCACCAGGCTGTAGGCGCGTGATTCGCAGCTTCCTGTACCAGTCGTAGGTTGTAGCTTCCAGTGGTACAGTTCTGCTTCTTGCTGGTTACTGTAACTAGTTGACTTCTTGCTGGTTACTGTAACTAGTTGATTGACCGCGCGAGGGGGGGGGGAGGCCCAAACAGGATTTTTAGCTCTCCTGGGCGCGTTGTCTGAATTGCTGGGGGGGCTCGAAATCGACACCCCTCACGCAGATCCGCGGGGTCAGGGTCCAAAAACACATGGGATTTGCCACATTTCTGAAATTCGGTGCCACCCCTCACGCAGATCCGCGGGGTCAGGGTCCAAAAACATATGGGATTTGCCACATTTCTGAAATTCGGTGCCACCCCTCACGCAGATCCGCGGGGTCAGGGTCCAAAAACACAGGGGATTTGCCACATTTCTGAAATTCGGTGCCACCCCTCACGCAGATCCGCGGGGTCAGGGTCCAAAAACACAGGGGATTTGCCACATTTCTGAAATTCGGTGCCACCCCTCACGCAGATCCGCGGGGTCAGGGTCCAAAAACACAAGGGATTTGCCACATTTCTGAAATTCGGTGCCACCCCTCACGCAGATCCGCGGGGTCAGGGTCCAACACATGGGATTTGCCACATTTCTGAAATTCGGTGCCACCCCTCACGCAGATCCGCGGGGTCAGGGTCCAAAAACACATGGGATTTGCCACATTTCTGAAATTCGGTGCCACCCCTCACGCAGATCCGCGGGGTCAGGGTCCAAAAACACATGGGATTTGCCACATTTCTGAAATTCGGTGCCACCCCTCACGCAGATCCGCGGGGTCAGGGTCCAAAAACACATGGGATTTGCCACATTTCTGAAATTCGGTGCCACCCCTCACGCAGATCCGCGGGGTCAGGGTCCAAAAACACAGGGGATTTGCCACATTTCTGAAATTCGAACCCATCACGCACATCCATCGCAAGGCGTGGTAACCCAAACTGCGAGAACTCCCTCGGCCCTTTAATCGCAAGGTGTGGTAACCAAGCCCTTAAACCATACACGTCTTACCAATCGCCAGGTGTGGTAACCCCTCTTGTGATAAGTTGGTTTTGCTGATTGCGACTCGGCTTCGCATGAAGCTTCGATACTGCTTCACGACAGCGCCAAGGCCTCATGACTTAGCTCTTCCATGGCCCATTCTCCGAGAGAGGGGGCCGGCGGCAGGGGGCGAAGCCCTTACGGATAACGATCTGGAGGAAGACCTCAAGATCTGCGTGAAGATCTGGGAGGAGATCCGGGTGAAGATCTGCGGGGAGATCAAATGAAACATCTGGGGGAAGATCTGGGAGAAGATCTGGAGGACAATTCGGAGGAAATCTGGGGGAAGATAACCGTGACCACTTTGTTAACTAGGTTTTCGAGTATCACTCGCGCGATGACGGCAGAACATGAAACAAAACAAGGAGTTTTACACATATGATTTTAGAGTAGGCCCGCGAGACTGAGCCTGGGCATGCCGTCATAGCTGTTGTTTTGAACTCCCTGTATCATAATCCGAATACACCGCATCATCGCAATCATGAACAACAAAAACAATATCCGATTCACTATCATCATCAGGCGCATTAGCATCAGTAGTAGCAGGATCAGCATCTGCATCATCAACATCACAGTCGTCATCATCGTCGACATCGTCGTCAGCATCATCAACAACAGCATACGCATCATCAGCAGCATCAGCATCCTCATCATCATCAGCATCATGATCATCGTCAGCATCATCATAATCAGAATCAGCCGCAGATTCGTCGTCAGCATGATCAGCATCATCAGCAGCAGCAACAACATCAGCATCATCATCAGCAGCAACATCATCAGCATCATCATTAGCATCATTATCGTCGTCATCATCCTCATCATCATCAAAATCAGAATCATTATCAGCATCATCAGCATCATCATCAGCATCACCATCAACAGCATTATTAAAAATGTTATCATGATCGTCGTCATCATCATCAGCATCAGCATCAGCATCGTCATCAGCATCAGCATCAGCAGCATCAGCATCATCAGCATAATCAGTATCATCATCATCAGCGTCATCATCTGCATCTCCGTATTACTCATCATCATCATCATCAGCATCATCATCAGAAGCATCCGCATCAGCATCAGCATCACAAGTTGGTCATCATCAGCAGCAGCACCATCATCAGCAACAACAGCAACAGCATGATCATCATCACCAGTAGCAGCATCATCGTCGTTGTCAACATGATCATCATCATCATCATCGTCAGCAGCAGCATCATAAGCAGCATCATCAGCAGCATCGAGGGCGCGCCGCTGCATGACCCTAAGGGGGGGGGGGACCCCCCCACCCGTTTCCCCGATCCGTCGTCGGGGACCCCCCCTTCCCCCCTTCCCTCCTTCCCCGATCCGTCGTCGGGGACCCCCCCCCCTTTCCAGGTCCGTCGTCGGGAAGCCCCCCCCCCTTCCCCCCTTTCAAAAGGAGGGGGGTGTCCGAACCCCCCCCCCTCCTCCCTCCTTTAGCCGCCAAATTCGAGCCCCCCCCCTCCCCCCTTTCGCCACGGCGCCCCCGGTCTCCGGAACCCGATCCCTACCACCCCTCACACTAATCCTCACCCTTACCCCTAACCCCTAACCCTAACCCCAAACCCAAACCCTAGCCCCAAGCAGTATTCACTACTCATTACGCACTACGCACTACCCACCATTCACTACTCGCTACTCACTACTCACTTCTCACTACTCACTACTCACTACCCACGACTCACTAATCACACAAATCACTACTCACTACCCACTAACCACTATCCATTATTCTCTACTCACACTTCACTACTCACCACTCACTGCCCACAACTCACTACACTCGCTACTCGCTACCCCCTATTGCCTACACAATACTCACTACTCACTACGCCCTACTCGCTGCCCGAAATACACTATTCACTACCCGCTACGCACTACTCACTACGCTCCCACTACTCACTACTCACTACTACTTACTCCCTACTCATTACTCCCAACTCACTACTCACTACTCACTACTCACTACTCACTACTCGCTACTCTCTACTCGCTACTCACTATTCGCTACTCGCTACTCCCTACTCGCTACTCCCCGATCGCTACTCGCTACTCGCTGCTCATCACTCAAGACTCACTACTCTCTATTCACTGCGCACTACTCACGACTCACTACTCACAACCCACTCCTCGCTAGTCGCTACTGTCTACTCCCTCATCCCAACTCCCTGCTTACTACTCACTATTCACTATTTACACACTATACACTACTCACTCCTCCCTACTCACTACTCACAATTCCTTACTCACTACTTCCTTCTAACTACTCACTACCGACTACTCACTACTCACTACTCACTAACTAATCTCTACGCGCTACTCACTACTACCACTACCCATTACCCACTACTCACTACGCACCACTCACGACTCACTTCGCACTACTCACCACCAAATACTCACTACTCACCAATCGCTACTCCAAACACTCTACTCCCTACTTACTACCCGAGAGGCCCCCTCCCCAAACCCCCTGTTCGGCGCAAAGGGGGGTAGTGGGGGCGGGGTTCGAACCCCCCCCCTTTCCAGCGCCAAGGGGGGGAGGGGGGAGGGTCGGGAACCCCCTCCCCCCCCTTCAAGGAGGGGGGGGGGAGGGGGGGGGGGGGGGGGAAATCTCACCCCCCCCTTTGAAGGGGGGGGAGGGGGGGGGGGTTCTGCGAGCACCCCCCCCGGGGGTTCTGCGAGCACCCCCCCCTTTGTGTATTCACGGCCATCCACTGGCGCGCCTTCATCATCAACATCATCGTTGTCCTTCTCGTCGCTCTCGTCATGCTCATCCTCCTCATCCCTACCCTCATCCTCCTCATCCTCATCTCCTGCATCGCCCTCATCATCCACGTCGTCCTCGTCGTCCTCGTCGTCCTCGTCGTCCTCGTCCTCCTCGTCTTCCTCGTCCTCCGCGTCCTGCGCGCCCTTGGCGCCGCCCTCCTCCTCGCCCTCCCCCGCCTCCCCGGACGCCCCCCCGGGCCGTGGGCGCGCGGTCCGCCCCGAGGCCCCGGCCGGGCACGGTGGAGATCCGCCTCCGCTGCGGCGGGCGCACCTCCGCGCGCCTGCGCTGCTCCTCGAGGGGCGACGACGACGACGACGACGACCACCACGACGACGACCACGACCACGACCACGGCCACAACCATGACGACGACGACGACGACGACGACGACGACGACAAGCTGCAGCGACGACGACGACGACGACGACGACGACGACGACGACGACTAACGAGGAAAGAGTACCGATACCGCGGCTCGTCCTCGAGAGCCATCGTGGGCACGGTTGGATTCTCCCCGAAATCCTGGTCAGAACGCACCTTGGCAGAGGTGGGGGGAGTAGCAGTACAGATGTGTTCCCCCGGGAAAGACGCGCTGCGTCGAGCACGACGACGACAACGACGACGACGACGACGAGGACGACGACGACGACGACGACGACGACGACGACGACGACGTGGCGAGGGCCCAGGGGCCAAACGAAGCAGCCAGACGGACCCGCCAGGTCAGAAAACAACCCTCACGATCGGCCGATGGAGGGCCCGTTCTGCGACTCCCTCTCTCGGTCTGGTCTGGCCCCCCAGGAGGGCCCCCCAAGGGGGGCCCAAGGCCAGGCCGCGGTCCTTCTTCTTCGGCTTCAGGCGCAGCATCCACTCCGGGACCTCGCAGCCCGACTGCCGCATGACGCCGACGATCCCCCGCAGGGACTCGAAGTCCTCGATTGTGAAGAAGGTCATGGCCGTGCCCGCGCGACCCGCGCGGCCCGTCCGGCCGATGCGGTGTATGTACGTGGCGGCCGACTGGGGGAAGTCATAGTTGATGACGGTCTCCACCCCCTTGAAGTCCACGCCGCGGGCCATGAGGTCGGTGCAGATCAGCATCCAGATCTTCCCCTCGCGGAACGCCTTCACCGTGGCGTCCCGCTGCGCCCGGGTGCGGTCGGCGTGTATCGCGTCCACGAACATCCCGTCGTAGACCAGCTCCCCGAAGAGCTCCTTGGCGCGCTCCTTCGACTGCACGAAGATGAGCACCGGCGGCTTCACCTTCGCCTCCTGGATCTGCTGTCTCAGGCTGAAGAGCTTCCCGTCCTC